CAAATAACGAAGTTATTTGGCAGATGACGTATCACTGCCAAATAACTCGAGTTATTTTGGCAGCACTATCATAGTAAATGTCGGATAAATTACCTTCAACATATATAATTGACGAGAGTTTTAAATTATTATATGCAGCATTTACACGTAATAACGCACGTGGGCGTTATTTTAAAATTTAACTTTTTTGAAATAGCATATTTGACTCAAAATAATGCCTATATGCATCTCAAAATAATGCACCCTTACTGTATATTTAATTTATTTACTATACTGCACCTGAATCTAAATAGTTCGATATATCGTACCTCTATTTGTTATGTCGAATCTATTATGTTTGATATAAAACGATTCGAAATATCACACATGTTATGACGCACGGGTGCTCAAAATAATATTCAAACATTTGTTATTAAACGAAAATACATAAGAAAATCAGACAATTTACAAACTTACAAAAGAAATTATCTGTTTAAAAAATATTAAGCTAATATTTATCTTATTTTAGGTGTGGCCCAGGGACATGGTCATTTGATATTGCAACTACGTGAGTATTTTCTGAATAAATAATTTTGCATAATATTTTTACCGCACCGTTTTTCGATTTCCATATTTGGAAGTGTATCTAAAATGAAAGTTAGTTTGTGGTTAAGTTGGAAAAATTTAGTAGGTAAAATTACTATACTGATATTCTTTATTAATGCTGAGGTAGGGCTAGACCCTCCTTTCTTTTGCATCGTAAAATTTATTGTTTAGTTGATGATCTCCCAATAAGGAATGTGTAAGACGGTGTGGTCTTTTAGTTCTTAATCTCATTAATGTTTTCTTAGTTATCCATTGGCTGAGGTTATTGGAATAGATATATCCCCGAACCAACCAACTCAGATCAAACCCAATAACTTTGAGTTCATTAAGGCAAATGTTCAAGAAAGATTACCATTCGATGATGACACTTTTGATTTTGTATTTCAACGGCTTTTGATTCTCGGACATACTAGTGAGAAGTGGCCAAAAGTAATAGATGAGCTTGTCAGAGTTTTAAAACCAGGTGGATTCTTAGAAGTATGCTTATTTGAAAAATTATTATGATGCTTATTGATATTTTAAAATAAGTACATTTTGATCATTTTTTTTTAAAAAAAAAAGTTATGTGAAACTTCCCTTCCATTTGATGAAGGGCCAGCTACTCAACGTATATGGAAGGCCGGTATGTATATTAGGGTTATAAAATTACTTATTCTTTTATTTACGTAATGTCTATTCAATTATTATGAAGAATCTGAAATATTAACGGAACAAGGCAGTGATTTGAATGTATATCAAAAATTAGATCAATATTTACAAAACCAAGGTTATTTGACATTTTTGTCTAACTTAATATTATAATTTATATGATTTTATAGATAAAATTATTATTAATGCTTATGTATTTTCTAAATTAGGTCAACTGGAAAATATTAACAAAGAAGTGAAAAAAACCTATTTTGGTGTAAAGCACAACAATATTGAATTTGGTAAAGCGGTATGTATCGTATACAAATTATATTATTTTAATAAAGTAATCTTAAATAAGTTTTAAAATTATATAATTTTTATAAATTTAACAGTTTACCAATGACATGGTTTCTGTAATAAATTCTCTTAAACCTGTTTTAACAAAAAAATTACAAATTTCTGGTGAAGAATATGATGAGTTAGTCAAAACATCAGAAAAAGAATTATTTGAACATGATACTTATATTTATTGGGTTCGAGCCTATGCAAGCAAGGTTATTGATGATAATTAAGTAAAAATTATAAATTAAATTTTATAATATTTAACTCAATGCACATAATAGCCTTGAATCATTTGAATTATAGATAATTATTTATTTCATTATATTATGAATATCTTGGTATTAAATTTAAATACGAAATTACAAATTAACATATGCATATTGCTGTATTGCTTTAATTAAGATAAATAAATAAGAAATAAATTTTATTTTAAGATAATTTATTTTGGATAATTATTTTATTGTTATAAAGGCAAATGAATTAATTAATAGTATCTAAGATCTGACAAATAAAAAAAAATCTAAGCAATATTGAAAGTAATTTTGATGTGTTAAAATATTTTTAGTATTTCTGTAAAAATTATAATTAGTATTAAAATAAATAAATTAGTATTTCTGTAAAAATTATAATTAGTATTAAAATAAATAAATAATTTTTTATACATCTAAGACATAATTGCTATATATTAAAATATTTAACAAACGTTAAATAAATAGATTACTGAAATATAATATAAACAAATAATTACTATAATTTATTTGTTCTTCTAAAAAGAAATTATTGATTTTAATAGTTTATATACTTAAACCGGCAGTTATTAAATAATTTTTTAACTTTTAATAAAATATATTTTAAAGATTCTAACAATATTATACACAGGTAACCCTTCTAATATCAACCCATTTGAATTGGTTTTAAATCATTTTGATAGTGGTATTAATGAGAAATCATTAAATTGGACATATATGAGGGAATTTTTGATATATAAAAATTATAAAAATTTGGTTTTGTAGCTTAGGTTAATATTAACGAGGGTCACCTGTATATCTGAATTTTAATTTTATCCCAATTATAAAAATAGTTTGAACTAAAAATTTTAATTTAACAAAGATTAAGCCTAATAGAAGACAGATTATATATTATAATGATAAAACTAAAAATTTATAGATTGGTTCTGGGTTCAAATTAAATTTTAGATTTGAATTTGTTTTATTTTAATTTCAACTCAGATTAAGTAGTTTTAATCAGATTTGAAATACTACTTTTAAGTCTAATAGATTAATAATATAAATTATGCGTTATAATGACGGATTTTATACAGATGTATAACACCACAGAATTCATAAATTTTTAATGCACGGAATTTTGCAGAACTTATTTGTCGGAATCTCATCATTTCCATATGATAAAACTGAACTAAAAATAAACCCGGTTCCAAACTCTATGATGATCATCAGCCTTGCTTTTATGTTTATTGCTTTTTAAAAAACATAACTAGTTACGCATTTTAATTACTTATCATACAAATTTTTCAAGAATTGAGTCTATATTTGCTTTTAAAATCGTAATTGATCTGAATAATTGAATAAGCCCGGATAAATTACAATTTGCGAATTGGGAATCTAATCTTTGCATTTAGATATTCATTATAAAACTTTTTTTTAACAATAGAGGTTTCTAATATATAGGTCCAATCCGGATAAATCTGTCATCCGTTTATCCGTGCGTATCTGAATTATCCAGATAATTCAGATTAGATAAACAGATCGGATATCCGGATAATCCGACTGATATTCGGATAATTATTCGAATATCAATAGTAAACAGATATCCGCTATCTGTTATCCGAGTATCCGATCTGAACTTTATTCGGATATCATTCGGATAAACGCTATCTGGATTGGACCTCTATTCTAATATATATATTAACTAAAGTTTATTGTAGTAAACAGAATAGAAAAAAGGAATGTGATTCCACCGAAAAGAAATTACCATGGAAAATACTCGGCAAGAATTAGACGCTGCAAAGATTAAAAAAAATTAAAAAAATTATTTTAATAAGTTATGTCATTTCTTGTGCTAGATGTATACCATACATTTTTCATCTTATCGATTTTGTCAAACTCTAAAATTTAAGATGCATATCAGGTTATTGAAATCAACAAATTTATCTTTATTATATGGTGTTTGTATTGGCTTCAAACATTCTTTTATTATCAATGATTTGTTATACGTATCGTATATTGTAAAGATAATTCTAATATATAAACAACACATTTTGTACAGTATTATATATATTCAGAACGAATAATACCTATACTTCCGAAACGAAATTAAGCACCCTGGCCCGGCACTATACCAATTTTGGCTTGCATTACATGCAAAAATGGGATGCTTAATTTCAAAAGTATACGGTATTTCATTCAAATTATAGTGCTTTGCAAAAAAGAATTGACCCCATGATTTTTGTGATGATTATCGAGGAAATTTCCGAGATTCTAAATTGTCTATTGATTCATATTTTCAATCAGTTATATTTATATTTATTTAAATTGGTAAGATTTGTAAAATCTACAGAATTTCCAAGTTTTAATTGACATTAAGTTTCAAAAACTTGAATTATTTTGGTAAGATTTAGAAAGTCTCTTTAGGCATTATATTTGTAGAATTAGATAATAGTAAGAAAATTTACTTTAACATTTCAACTGATGGACTTAACAATAATCATTCTGTTAGATGGAATTGAAGAGTTCATAGACTTTTTTGTTCCTTTTATAAAGTATTTCCGAATAAGCTGAGTTCAAATTATTTGTTCCTTTTACTTCCATCTAATTTACATTAAAATTAATCAGAAATGTAATATAATTAAGTTAAACAATAGCAAAAACATTGATATTGAGCCATTTGGGTCATTGTTATTGGCCTACAAAAAATCTAAACATCATTATTGACCCATTGTTATTGAAATTTGTATGGTTTTTAATAACACACCATGGAGAGTTTTAATATTTCACTCATTGAACCATCTTTAAGTGAAATAAAGTTCTGTATTTTATTATCCTATGTGTACAGAATAAGTTGAAGTCAAAAAATTAAAATTTATACTGATATTTAAGAGGTTACAAATGCCATAGAAGTTGAAAGAACCAAAAAAACTCCTAGTTAATGTTATCAATATTAAATCTATTACCACTATTAGTTAGAAATGAAGAACTGCAGCAATTACTATTGGAATCACAAACTAATTATATTGTATAAAAAAGTCCAAATAAATAATATAATAATTTTAACTATAAATAGGTTAAAACAGAGTAAACAAATTATCAATATATTATCTTTATCTAAAGCAACTAAATGATGTGCACTAGAAAATCTTTTTTTAAAAAATCAAACTGATTTAAAAAACAAGAGTTTGTAAAATATTTACTTAGAAAAGTCAACTGCAAAAAAGTTTGTTTTCATTGCTCATTAGAAAAAAAATAAGATAAAACAAACAACTAACTTGTAAAGTAAAAAGTTAATTAGAAATTAGGATTTATAATAAATAAATAAATAAGTTTTAATTCTCTCTTTGAAGTATTAATTAAAAGGCTTATATAATGGCTTATAATTTTATATGACTATATTGTAATACAATGTTTTTTTTTTTGTAACAATGATTATATTATTATTATTATTATTTAATAAGTTAATAATAATATACTAATTTTTAATGGGTGGTTAATAATAATAATTCAAATAGCTTAATAACAATAGTTTTACTAAGTAAAAAAAAAACTATACTTGTATAAATCAAAATGTAAATATTTGTAAATATCTCTATGCTTTGTAAGATTAAACTCAACTTTATACAATCTCTAACTTAATTAAATTTGAATAAATTTTAAAAAAATTTGCTTAAATATATTTTTTCAAAGATATAAAGTTTATCTCTAGTATATGTTGCAAGCTTTAACAAGTTACTATTATATTTTTTCAAAAATCAAATGATTTGTTGCAATTTTTGAATAAAAGCATTTCTAATATCTATTATATTATCTATATTTATCTTTAAACATATTAATCTTTTATATTTATTAGCATTTAGCTAGTGATTTAAGATATGTATAATATTAGATCTTTTATAATATGACAATTTGAAACAATGCACTTCACGTACATATGCATTTTTTGTATTTTACTTAGATACAAATTTCTTTTAGTATCTATATAAAACTATTTTATTTGAGTATTTATTACTAGTATATAAATTTGAATATTAATATAAACTAAATAAATATATATATACAATATAATAATATTACTGATAAAATTATAAAAAACAATATATATATTGATTGATATCTAATATTTTACTATGTATAAATAATATAAATCTAATATTGTTTTTGAGTTATAAGTCAAAATATTTTTTTAAAAAAAGCAATATGCAAATATATATATATTTATTTTTAATTTAATTATTTAATATTTTAGTACACCCTACCTCTATGATTAATAGTATCCTCAATCGTCACAAAGATCCAGTTAAATTTAATAATATCCAACTAGACAA